AGGAAAAGTGCGTTTGAAACCTCCTCCGCTTTCAAAAGATCGAGCGCTCGGAGAGTCATTGAAGCAGACTTTAAGAATTTCAAGTGTGTTATCTTTATTTCTTTTGTTTACCTTATTGTCTCATTACTTTGATTATCCAGACTCTCGATCATCCGGACTGTTTACCTAAGTCCCAACGAGTCCAGATAATCGAGGTTCGACTGTACTAAGTCCCATCGAGGCCACTGAAGCAGTGAGAGCATTATGAAATTTTTATTCTGACATTTGACAAGTCACGTGCAAAAGAAAGAGAATCTCTACTATGCTCCCTCTCTTTAATGGAAGATACATTCTTACGAATGACAAAAAAAAAAAAAGACAGAGGCAAGCCTCATTGGAAGAATTTTTAAATCAACGTCGTGATTAGCAACTTTATTTCAATAGTATGTACAGTGCATTACTATACATTGTCATTTAATGCTGTACACACCGTTTATGATCATTGACATTTGACCTGTCAGGCATAAAAAAAAGGAATTTCCGCGCACCTTATCTTGAATGAAAGACGCATGAAAGATGAATGAAAGACAAAATATAAAAGAGTTAGAGAAAATTTTTTATTATTTTTTTTTTTTAATTTTTTAACCATACCTCGATATAACGAACACTCGATTTAACGAACCCATTTCCCCAGTCCCTTGGCACTTGGCACTTCGTTAAATCGAGGTTCCACTGTACTCAACTCGATCGTCGAATTGATTCGGAAACGGCATTTGAGCGTCACAGAAGCTGCATTCCTATTCATGATTAAAACACCGTATTAGCGATGAAAATGCACCTTATTTCGTTCCTTGGTCTAATGAGCTGGTTGAGTAAATATGGCCTTGGAGATTTTGTTGTGAGGAATTTATCACGTGGCTCCGAAGAAGAACGAATTCGGAAACTCGAAGCTTGTCCAGGTTCGTCCGTCATTAGAAAAGCCAACTTCAATCTGTGCTGCAAGTGAAAACATTCTGTTGCATGTGTGCAGACGATGCCGAAGGGAATTATACAAGTGACACTACAATACAATGGAGTTGCCATTGCTGGTAACCTGCATTGCGAATGTCATATCTATGAAAGTTCTCACACAAAGAGATTACTTTGCAGCAGTCGGTCTGGACTGAGCCCTTTACCTTTGCAAGCTTTCAAGCTTAGACCTACTTCTAAAGAAAAACTCGAAGTCTCATAAAGAAATCAAAAAAATTGGTGAATTTGGAGACGAGATAGCGTTCACTGACTCGGTAAGGTACAGTTCTTCTGTCCTGCTGATAAAAGAAAGAAGACGCTAAAACCTTGATGGGCTATTCGGGACCTTAAGCAACCACGACGGCGACGGCAACGAGGACGTGGAAAAACAAGAGATCTAATTGGCAGAACAATAGCTCAGCACGTGCGTTTTGAAACTTTGTACATTTCTTAGCCGTCCTATGCAAAACAACAACGTGAAATCGCCAAAATTTGCGTCGTTTGCGAACCGAAACCGCGACGGCAAATTATTTTAATTTCCATTTGGAACTCAACGGCTACTTTATACGTCATGCTGAAGTTGAGCTGTGGCGCTGTAT